AAGTCATTGTCCCCGCCGTTTGTACCTGCCGAGAAAATTATGAAAATATAGCTCTCGACAATTAGAACAATCTGGCATTTATCTCGACCGGTACAAACTGCGGGGACAATGACTTTTCTTAACTTATGTGCATATGGGCACACCCTTAAATTTTCGATTTCACACGTAACGGACTGCTTTATTCAAACTGTTGACGGCCTAGTTCTTAAATATCCTTCATAGTTTGCAGAGCAACTGAAAAATGTACGACAATCACATTCGTTTCAACACTATGATAACAGAAGCAATTAAATAATTCTACGAAACTCCTAATCTCTTCACAAGTCAACTCTGCGCCATCATACTTCACAAAGCGTCATATTTCATTGAACAAGTGAGATACATTTGATGTAGTGTGACCTATATCAATATGCTATTTTTTTTAATCCAGTTTCATACTTATGAAGTTAATGAGCGTAGACTCCATTCATTTGTACATACAAGGTGTAAAAAGAGGATGATTACATGCTACCTATTTCACTTTTATGCGTAGAGTAATAATACAAAATTCGCATAAGAAGCACCACTTTATCAAGTGGATTAAGTTTTGATAATATTTCCTGTGGTTTTTTTTTCAATTAAAATAGGAAAGAGTAAGTTAATTTTACATGCTTGATACAATTCTTGAAGCGTTATTGTAAAATATTTGTTGTACATGCTCATGGAATAGCGATCATTAATTAGAGGATCGCTCATATATGGTACATGCTAAAATCAGTCTAATTAACGAAGGTACGGGAGATTTACACGAGGTCAAGCTAGTGCTGGACTTCCCGGCCCCTCGGATAGTCAAGCAATGCGTACATAATTGCGAAATTCTACGCGATCGAGAGACAATGCAAATAGAGATACTGACATATCTTTTTTCTAAGAAATAACGAAATACAGATAAACCTGTCCCTTTTAAAGAAATTGTAAACCTTATTTTATGTTTAAACTTGTATATTTTTAAAGCCCTGTATCAGCCATAGCGTGCATCAAAGGCCCTGTGAAGTGGAGAGGACATTGGATTAAATTATCCAAAGGATTTTTGATTTGTATATCCGACCAATGCTGTTTTACTCCTCCTTTCGCTACCTGCTCTTAAGATTTCGTTTTTACCGTACACTTGGCATTTATGGCGTACATCGGCATAAAGTTCTAATGTTATCCATTAACTGGTGAATGCTGCAAAAACAAAAACTGTGTATTTTGTTTCTGTCTCCATTGTAAGATAGTTTTCTAAAATGAGTTTCGTGTCCTTACAAGGCTTATGCTAGAAACACATACACACTTATGTACGTACTTAAGTCAATAAGCTTAATTACTGATGAGTTATAAAACAATTTTGAGTTACCGTCATAAATTCTAAAAATATTCGAGAGCAAATTTAATAACTTTAATGGAAACAAGCACATAACCCATCCTCATACTTCGACCTTATGGATACGTAGACGGCTTCCTCCTTTATCTAGTTAATAACCGCTAAGAGAACTACCAACACACATATCCGACCGCAGGCTTTCTATCTAATCCAACATCAGCAGAATAATAATTATACAACAACTTTTGTTTAATTTCTGTGGAATAATAATTTGTGACAATGGTATTACCGTGGTTGAAGGTGGGGATCAACCTGTGGAGAGGAAATCTGATTAGTAATCTGATAGGAGACGGATGACTCTACATTGCCGAACCCTCAACCACGCTAAGCCCGTAAGAACTATTGTCAGAACCGAATTCCGAAGAGAATTCTGGACGGAAATATCAAAATGTCTACGATATTGTAGCATTTATTGCATAAATTGTATATTGTGCTTATTTTTCTATAGATGTCAAGCCTGTAAACAGATCGGTAGTTTACATAAAAAGTTAGTGCTTGCCCAGGGTCTGCCTTCCAAGTTAATTAGAGTCTGACATACTTGACAGTGTTTCTCTGGTTGGCATCGCGTGTCGTCAACATACAACACTATAATTATGGTTGGTTTTCTTGTAAGTAGCAAATTCTTCATATACCTTACGAGGCTTTTATAGAAATACATACAAATTTACTTATCTACGTTCGGCAATTCGTCTAATTACTTATGGAGTTGTAAACCAATTTTACTAAAATTCTAGAAGGACATGAAACCGAAACACTGAAATAGAAACAGCACAGAACCTAACCTCCAACTTGGACTACCTGGATATGTAGCTAGCGGCCTACTCCTTTTACATAGTTAGGTAGCTAAGATTGAAAATTTCAAGTGAAGATTGAGGGAACATTGGGAATTTTATGGGAAAATTAAGAATATTATTAAAATTAAGAAAATTAAGAATACGTGCAATATTTAAATCCACACGTGCATAGACGGTTTGACAGAAACCAATTTTTAAAATTAATCAATCTACATCTTCAGATATATCATATTACAATCTGCAATACATACAATTCGCTCATAAATGTGTTCTTAAACAAACAACGTGCTTAAAAAGTCCAATTTTCAGTACATTCTTGACTTTATTTGGCGTTTTGTTGTAGGGGAGAGTACGGTCGGTCGTCCTGACCGTTGTTTGGAGCCGTATAATTCTCACTGACGATTGAGCGACAGCGCTTGACTTAGGATTAGTTATGGAGGGTACTTGAACCCAGGGTTCGTAAAACCCAGGGGTTTTTCTAGAAAAACCCTGACCCAGTGGTTTTTCCGGGGTTTTTGGGGGTATTTGGGGTTTTAGGGGTTTTTGTGGGTTTTTGGGGTTTTTGTAGACCTTTGTAGACTTTTGGGGCGGATTGAAACAAACTTCGTCAAAATACATATTAGACTAAAACTAACTTAATATTAGGATTCAGCATGAAATTTTATGAATTTTCATATGTGACTTGGCCTTTCAAGTCAAAAGTTTGTCTTTAACATGTAAACCAAATAGAAAACTTGATTTATTTGTTAATGATACTTGGAAACTCAAGTCGCACATGAAAATTCGCAAAATTTCATGCTGTATCCGAATATTAAGTTAGTTTTAGTCTAATATGTATTTTGACGAAGTTTGTTTCAATCCGCCCCAAAATCTTACAAAAACCCCACAAAACCCGCAAAAACCCACAAAAACCCCATTAAGCATTGGGGTTTTTCCGAGTTTTGATACCCCAAAAACCCACAAAAACCCCAACCCACAAAAACCCGGGGTAGCGTACCCTGAATTTTTCTGCCTCTTTTTGCCTTGTTTTGGGAACCTACGACATAAGTTTTTTTCAATGTTGTTGTCTCAGCCAGTCTCAGAGAAGAATAATCATACATATAATTAATAATATAAATATTTATCTGCATTTTACTTATCGGGATTTGATAAGTCGATAACGACCACACCCTCTGGAGGTGCGGATTATAATTTTAGACAAATTAGTTGGAATCCCCTCATTTTTACTGACAGTATGATATGTCGCTGTCGCATGTCTGGGTGTAGTTAAAATCAAAACGTCGCCGATAACCACGCCCCCATATCGTCCCGGGTGTTAGGTGCCCGCTTAACATTGCTTAAGTTAATCCAGGCCCTAATAGTCCTATTTGGACGCGGTTTAATTTTTTGTCTCGCAGGATACACTTTCCTTTTGTAATATCTGATGGCTGATGACCACGCCCCGTTGGGGGTGTGGAATACTAAATTTTATTCCCCAATATCGTACGTTTCCAAGCCTATGCTTGTGATTAATTTTGACATTTTTGAAGCTGTTGGTTATTTTTATCAATTAAACAATATTTATCACACCCCCTGCCACCCCCACACCTTTTTCTAACCCCCAGGTCATACCCTTAAACTCCAAGAGTAATTGACGAAAGTTGTTTTTGTTAAAATTTACAAAAAAACCCATACAGAGAATCGAACCCACGGCAGTGTATTTCACAGCTCGAACGCCTAATTCCCTAAGCTACCATGCCAACCTGTTTAAGTGTAGCATTTTAATTCTCCATGAATTTCCAACCGCATAATTTTGATGACTCATAAAAGTTTTAACTTGTCCCTGTATCATTCAATTGAGATCTAATCACAAATTGTGCAAGTTAAAACGGACAGAATTAACCTGGACAATTTTAAAAACTCCTATGTTTATGATGAAGGTTTAAACCCAGACCTTCAAACAACGATTTTTAACGGTGAAACTAAACAATTATTTTTTTAATTTTTATGACACTGGAGAACTGAATTCTGTAACTATTTTCTCTCTTGTCATTTATCTCTCCGACGCGTAGTTCAGCCGTGAGAATTTTGGGAGTTTTTGAGTGCTCAGTCTGAATGGATATCTCTCGACTACGCCGGGCCCAAATTGAGCATAGCCATGCTTTGGTTCTGTGAGGGCTCCCGCTTTCCGGCTTTCGCCTCACCTCAGAAAAAAACCCAATTTTTCGAACAAGACACTAAATACGGGAAGTATTTCTGTAGTAGTACATGTATGAAAGAAATTCAGAGAAAGAATGACTGCAAAATTATGGTTTAACATTTTCATCTTTTCATTCAAGGTAGGAACAAGTGCAGGTTAAACAAATCAATACAAATAATTACATTATCTCTCTTTAGATATAAAACGGTATAAGAAAATAATTAATATGCTGTACTTATTTACGTAGATAAATAAATACGTGTGTGTTTTAGCTTCCTAGTTTAGTATGTACGTAATTAAGGCATTTACTGCATACCGATATTCCTGTGGTTTCATCTAGCAGGCTAAATTGGTTGTGCTTACTGAATATTATTTGGAAACATAATAAATCTAGTTTAATACAGTTGGGAGACCATTTAACGAAAAATTTGTGGTTTGCCTCGTTTTGCTTATTTAACAAAATTAAGTAGCACTGGTATGACATAGCAAACACATTGTGCAAAGAAATAAATGGTTTTCCCCGTGTAAAAATAGCTGTATTATGAGTCATAATTTATGACCACAAAGACCAAGGTTAATTTAATACGATATCCGAACTTAGGAGTTAGTCGTACTTAGTTATACTTAGTATTCTATTGAGTGTGTAAATAGATTTTACTTCCCAAATTAAAAAGCAATTAGTCTAAACTTTTCTGGTTTCGGTAATCCTTGCTTAATCTCCTTAAAAGTCATTCGTTGCTTTTTTCATTCCAGTGAACTTCAATCCATCAGACTGTGTTGTTTACGATTTTTTTAAAATACCCACAATGTTCAAACTTGCTATGTGTTCGATAATTGTCATTTTAATTTCTCAACTAGAGAAATCAAGCCAACAGGACGATGAGAAACCTACACCTTTTAATAATAACCTTTACGAAGCCATCACTGATTTCCTTGAGGAACAGAAACAAGCAAAAAAAGAATCACTTGAGCTCTTTGACACGAATAAGGATGGCTTCTTGGATGTCGAGGAACTCATTGTTGCTGCTGAGGCTGGCAAATTATTTGAAACTTTTTCTGGATACAAGTTCAATGGTTACGATGTACAAGAAAAGTTGGACCAGTGGGATTTTGACAACGACAACAAATTGTCTTTCGAGGAATGGGTCAACTTTTAAGGAACCGGAAGGACTACGGTGAGCGAATAAAGTAATAAAACAGATACATGATAAGGCTAATTTTCGAAATTATAAATAGTTGTTTTTACAAATTCCAGGCAGTCGTACGATAGATATGCTAACCCGGACAATGTTTTTATGATAAGCCCCGTTCTCCAAGTTTTAAGCAGTGTAACTTTCCAATCTAATTCTTAACAATAAAAATTGAATTATTTGCTAGAATTACAATAATGGTGTGGTCTTTAAATTTGAATTACGCACTCGGGATCCTGTCACCGGGCTGGGAAAAATGGTACGTCAAAACACTGGTTTTATGATACCCATTGTGAATGGGGTCGGTGAGCACTCTAAATAAGCATTGCATGTAAAAATGGGCTTAATTGTATCTAATGCCTCGACCGTAATGACGACCTGCATGTCCTGCGTGTTAGATATTTAAAATATCATATTTTATCGGCATAAAATTTGATTTGGTTATTTAAATTTCTGTTGTTGGGACTAACTGTATTTTAACCATTATTGGCCATTTTGACCATTCTGATTAATCAGTAACTGCAACAATTCTTCTCAGGGTTTCGATTGGTAAAAACCAGATTGACCAGGGCAGTGGGAAAAAGTGGGAAAAAGGCATTTTTACCATCCACCCAAAATAGGTGGGAAATGGGAAAAATGGAAGAAATGGGAAATACTGTGCTTTTGGGGCGATCCGAAACAAACTTTCTTTAAAACTTAATATTTTCAAAATCTGAGTTCATATTCGTATTCTCCATGAAATTCTGAGCAAATAAGTGGGTAACACGGTTAAAATCGAGCAATCTTTAAAATTAGTATGTATTCATATGGAAAAATGGGGAAAAAGTTCAAAACTGTTCAAAACTGTTCAAAAGTGGCCGTATTATATACCAAAATTTTCAGAATTTGATGGAGATGACGAATATGAAGTCGAATTCCGAAAATATTGAGTATTAAAGAAGTTAGCTTTCCCCGTTACTAAACACATGGGCCGCCATTTTTCCCGTTTTGGACGGTAAATACCATTTTTCCCGGTTTTTCCCACTTTTTCCCACCTGCCGTGGGAAAAAATAGTTTTGGACGGGAAAAACGAAACCCTGATTCTTCTACTCATTCCATATGGACAGGATCAGAAGTTGGTAGAAGTGAGTCAAAAATCAGCCCGTGTTCTTCAACTAAAGAAGAGAAAGGGTGGATGTGTAGATTTTGTTTGATAAGATCGTTCATTGTCGGACAGCGGAGTCCGCATGTGCCGCAGATTGCTTGGGGAACCTTTACTGTATCCAACGGTGTCACAATTGCATTACAATTACATTGTCGTCTACATTATTTGGTAATCTCATTGGTAAAAATGGTAAAATCTAGATTGTCGTCTAACGACATAGCTGGAAAATTGGAACTTAATTATGACTAAGTTATTACTTATAATACGACACTCATGTAATTCATTACGTAACACATTTGTTAGATTATTTTCGTAGATCAAACTAATAAACGTAAACAGTAGCATTTAAACGGGGCCTAATAACGAGCAGGACCAGCACGTATTCATGAGTATAAATGTCTGAACATGGTTAAATAAGATCGCATGATTTTTTTACTTATGTACGCAATATATCAAATCATTCCCGCATAATAATGATACGTAAATCTGAATAATTTGTTCTTCTCCGAAGGAAGGAATGCTTGAAATTATATTCCGATTAATAAAATAGACCTAAATCTCACATAAATTAAAGCTCGAATTATTTCCAAATTAGGGTTGATTGTTCACAACTTGTGAATCACAAGTCCGGCGATTATTAAAAATATGGATATGCATTCGTCTAATTCCACGATTTAGAGTAATGACTTATGAGGCACACACCTTTCACACGGGTCACTATCAATACTCAGAAATGTATCCATAAAATATCATGTCTAAAAATATATATACATAAAAATAAATACTAACCTAACCTAACCAACCCGTCAAAAGCATGTCGATTTTTGAAATCCCCACCCCCAAATATATCTAAAACCTTTGAAACAACAATTTCGACATGATTCACTATTGTCCTTATTAAGTGCCGCCGTTACCTTTTGACCAACGCCGCCCGCCTGTTGGTTCGATAACTCTCGAACGGAGTGAGACTTGGTTAAAGGTTGACCAAGGTCACGGCGCCACGTTAATAAGGTCAATGGTGTTACATGTCGAAATTTTTGTTTCAACGGTCTTAGACATATTTTTAGGCGAGGGCGAAGATTTCAAAAATCAACATGCTTTTGACGTACGTCGACATGGTGACCGTGTGGACGACTTAATTTATCTTACGATGTTGAAATAATCAAGATTGATGACAAATTCATAATTGGATAGTCGAGACTCGAGAACAATTCAAATTCAATTCAACTAGCTTCCAAATACATGCATAACTTTGTTTCACGCAACCCACACCTCGCGAGTTTCACTAGTTACATAGTACTACACACGTCGTACAACATGATCGTGGACAGTGCTCGGATCGATTATATTTTCGGTTGTTTATCATAATTCATAATAATGGAATCAATATCGTCTCCAATCGCAATCAAAATTGTAACCAAGGCGGTTAAGTCATATATATTGACACCGGCGGTGTTGATTCGTTAAATTTTTTTTATAGTGTAGTATATTCGACAATGTATGCATATACATACATACGTTCACGGTTCTTACATAATCTTGTTACATAACTTACTTTTATTTTTGGAAGTTTTATCTTCTGTTGTTATCATTGACGTACTATCGAATTCGCTGCAACTCATCCTGTTTGCTATACCCCAAACGTAAATGATGATGCTCAATATATCCAGTGCGGGGGAAGCACAGTATGATTTTCGGGAAAAAAAGCGAATAAATTATTTTAAGGTCTAGAATGGACCCATGTGGGTGGGGGAGCATAACAAGTATAGGTTATTGTGGTTTTTGAAAAGGGGTGTGGTGTGGGGGGGGTTTTTATGAAATTTAAAAAAAGTCTCAAATTGCCCCCAAAACTACACCCACTTTGAAGAGAATTTAATGCTGATTAAAAAAAGCTATTATACATGCCCCTCTAACTCCTATTGTTCTCGCGGGAAAAAATAAAACGTGGCGAAGAAACAGAATTTTTGCCAAAAACGGATGATTTGACAATTTAAAATGGCTGGCAAATTGTTAAATCGAAAAAGGCGCAGGCAACGACACATAGGTCATAAACTACCCTTATGGGTGTGTCTAATGACGCAACGTTCGGCCAATTCCCAGACACACTTTTTGGAAAAACATCACGCAAAGTTGGGCAAAATCCAGCTGACGAAAACGATGATTGGTGGAGCATTTTGGAGAGAAGCTACATCTTCTAGAGTAATAAGTTGCAATAACTGACCTGTTTCTCGTAAACTACGCCCATAAGACTGTATAATAATGTGACCCTTGTCCCATCCGGAGTTGTAGTTGTATTAATAATTTAAGGCAAACTTGCGTCAGATGACGGTTCCCAAAAATTGCAAAACTCGACAACTTCAAATGGGCGGCAAATTCCTAAATCGAAAAAGGCGCAGGCAACGACCCATGCGCCATAAACTAGGGTCATGGGTGTATGTAATGACCAAACATTTGGCCAAATCCCAGACACACTTTTTGGGAAAACATAACACGAATTTGGGCAAAATCCAGGTGACGAAAATAAAAAAAATTGTCAACATGAAATGACGGGAAAATTTTGTATTGAATTTTTACACGTTTCAGACAATTCTAAGACATTTTCTCACTTTGCCCCAAATTTGGGGCATTTTGAGATTTTTGAGAAAATGTCTATCTAAAAATGATGCAATCCTTAAAATAGATGGGGCAACGTGAGATTTTTATTATGGTTTAAGAGGATTGGGCAAATTTATTAAGGTGTAAGAAAAAGGGCATCATACCTTATCTACCAAAAGGGGTGTGGTAAAAAAGCTGAATATTTTTTTTATTTTTTCGTATATGGAATTTCAATGTAGATTAGTTCTAAAACTCTATGTACCACGTGCACAGCACTCTTTATGCACCAATTTGCGCGAAATTGTGGCATGGAAATTAACCCATAAAATTATCTGCAAAATATTTCCACCGCTAATTTTATATGCTTATATAATGGTCTATCTAAATAGAAACTAATAAAGTGCAAAATTTACCCACAATTGTCCGCTACACTTTTATATTTTTAGAAATTATGTACATTTCTCATCAAGGTGAATTTTACATCTTTAACGCAATAGCATATTCTAGTCAATTATATAGATCCGAAGAAATGACTTGCGCCGTTTAAAAATATTTCTAACCAAATTGAAATCTTTTTTCTAGGTTCTTTAGTAAGTGCGTAATTGGTGTCCTGCAAATTGTTAGTTTACATAATTATGTTTTGAGTAGGGAATCGTACATTGCAACACAAATATGTCAATGTTAATGATAAAAATTATTTACGCAACATAGAGAATTACAGAGCTTGGATTAATCGGGATTAAGGATTGGAGAACTTTTTATTTTAAAATTAATCCCTAATCCTTGATCCATCAATTCTTAGAAAAATAACTAATCCTTAATCCTTAGAAGTTTCAGAATTTTAATCCTTTAATCACGATCGGGATTACTTTTTGGGATTAACTTCTCCCATCTTGGGGTAAGGCGATTTTTGTCTACTGGTTTTCAGTAAAGACTGTACTCCTTGTACACATTGTCTTTAACATTTTCCAATATTTTTTTAAATAGTAATATTTCCCAAATTAGCACGGTTTCAAAAAATGAGTTGCGGTTTATATTTAATGGCTGATATTGAAAGCATAAGGTCGGTGAAAAAGTATCCGGCAAAAATCAAGTCAACATAAGTTCAACACTTCTTATTGTTACCTCCTGCCCAAAAAGCGTTCAGCTACGACGTAATCACCATTGAGCTAGCCTATCCTACTAATTTACTAATTATTGAACCAGATTGTGTTAAAAGTTAACTACTAGAATAAATTAAATTTATTCTTACGTTGTCAGTAAAAATTGGTATTATTACTATCCACTTCAAAAATTGTAATCCTTAATCACGAAATTAATCAATCTTAATCCATTAATCGTGCTTTCTCATAAGAAAATTTTATCTCAAATTAATTCAATCTTGGTTTGAGCTTAATCCCAATCCCAAAATTTAATTCAGATTTTAGAAAAAGTAATCTAGTTAACAAAATAGTTT